CGGAGACCTCACCAACGCCGGCACCGTCGCCGACATCCAGGCCCAGCTCGACTGGCTCGCCGCTCAGCCTCACCAACACAAGATCCTCGTATGCGGCAATCACGACAGCTTCTTCGATCCCAGCGCCCGTCTGCCCGAGGACCGCGGCAAGAGCCTCGATTTCAAGGGGATCCGCTATCTCATCCGCGATGCCGTCACGCTCGAGTTCAAGGGCGGCCGTCATTTGAAGATCTACGGCGCCCCTGATATCCCGACCTGCGGCGGCTCAGAAATGGCTTTCCAGTATGATCGTTCATCACCGCCCTGGACCAATACCGTACCAATTGACACTGACATTTTGATCACTCACACCCCACCAGTAAGTCTCATCTCATCTCATCTCATCTCATTTTCACTTCATCTCATCCTCTCCACCTTCATCAACTTCTTCATCTAACACACGCCACCAGAAAACCCACCTAGACCTCAACCTAGGCTGCCCAGCCCTCCTTCAGGAAGTCTGGCGCGTCCGCCCCAAACTCCACGTCTTCGGCCACGTCCACTGGGGCCACGGCCGCCAGACCGTCCACTTTGACGATTGCCAGCGCGCCTACGAGGCCCTCATGTCCCGCCCGCCCCGCGGCCTCTTCCGCGACCTCTTCCCCCACGCCGGCTGGCGCGACGCCCTCGCCGTCCTCGGCTACGGCATCCACGGCGTCGTCTGGAAGTGGCTCATGGTCGGGCCCGGCGGCAACACCAGCAGTCTCATGGTCAACGCCGCGCAAATGTACGGCAATACGGGGCGGTTGGGGAACCCTGTGGAAGTGGTGGATTTGTAATATCAACAAGGGTAAGACAATGACTTGGAATCCTAAAGTATTTGTATAACTATAACAACTACGTATAATGTAGTAAGGCAGTGCGCCCGTTGCGCTGGTGTGGTATCATGGCGATGTCTGTGCTAATGAACGTGTGGTGGAACAAAAAAAAGCAACAAAAGAAACTAAGCAGAAAGATAGAAAGAAGAGAAAGATACCAAATGCGCCGCCAATATGCACCGGGAACCAGCCCACCGATTCGTACGTCTTCTCGAAGTCAAATCCACACTTCCACTTCATCAGAAAAACATCAACGCGAATCGTACAACCGCAATAGCGACCCCCAACCCAACAGCCCACCCAAAGTTCACCTCGGCCACGGACGCGCCTGCACTAACAGACACCATGGACGGAGTGGGTCTCCCGGTCGCAGGCGGCGTCGCCACCGCACCAGTCACCGATCCAGTGGGCCAATAACCCGTCGACGTCCCGACCCCGGCGCCGGCTCCGGTGCCCGGCACCGCAAGCACCAAAAACGGCACCGTCAGCGTCACACGGTCCGCGCCGTCGGCACCACACCCAGCGCACGAAGCCACCGTCGTCGTCATCGGCACGCTCACCGCCGCGGGCTGCATTCCATCACCGCCGCAGTACTTGTTGCACCCCGGCACCAGGATCGTGGTACAGTGCTCCGCGGGCGTCAGGCGCGCCGCGTCGGTCGCGCAGACGGTGGTGTAGGTCACCGTCGTCACGAGCGTCGATGTGGACGGGGTATGGGGTTCCGGATCGCCCAGGGGCGGGGCGTTGGGGGGGACTTCGTCCGTGAGGCGGGCGTAGACTGACAGGAGGTAGGTTGAGGGCGCGGCGCGGCGGTGGAGGTGGAGGTGCATGAGGCGGCGGTGGGGGTTCGAGGAGAAGGACGGCGGAAGGGTGTCTCGCTTTGGCTTTGTGGCTGGGGTGCTTGTGGTGCCGCCGCAGAGCTGAGTGCTGTTTCCTGGGCAGGGGCTGTTGCAGAGGGCGCGGTCTGTTGTTGCTCTGGTGTCTGGGTCGAGGTCATCTGCGCAGAAGCATTCGCTGGGAGGTAATGTGTTAGTGAGTGAAATATTTGACGTGATATGAGATGAAGATGGTTCCGAGACGTTACCTTTCGCGGACACCGGCATATTTCCCAGGCCTGCAGAGATCAATACACTTGTCCAGCGTCATATCCGCCGCCGAGGCTTTTAACAAGAAGCTCTGGAACCCTGTCCCGGAGCCGAAGCAGCCGAGGTACGCGTACTCCCCGATCGTCGCCGGCTCGCGCCCTGGGACAACAGGGTCCGTCGAGGGGCTCGGCGGCGCGGTGGCGGTCGGTCCCACGACGGTGGACATGACGACGGACGATACCTGGGAGGACTGCACTGTGGCGGTAGACACGATGACGGTACCGTTTTGCGTAAAGCTCGTCACGATGGTGGCAGGGTTTGGTACCGTGGTGTAGATGGTCGACGTGGTCTGGACCGTCGTCGTTGTTGTCGGTTCGGACGGGCTGGCAGTGGTGTTTGTGGCGAGGCCTTGTTCGTAGACGTCGATGTAGTTGACTTCCCAGTACCTGGTTGTTCGCTTCTCGTCAGACAGGTTCTAGGGAGAATGTTCAAGAAAGGCTCGATGACCTACGCGTTCGCAAATGCGGTAGGATTGTTCGCCACATATTCAACGCACGTCGGCGCTCGCTGGTTGCATGTATCTCCGTCTTGGCCCCAGATATGGGCAGCATAATCACCGCAAAAGTTCTGGATACCTCATGGTCAGCTTGGCTTGTAACATACTCACGCAACTTCGCGCAAAACATACCGTCTGAATCACAATGCTCATATCCTTGAAGTACGTGTCCACATCGCAAGTTGACGTTCCGAAAAGCGCAGACGGCAATCCCCAGCCGGACGGATCCGGATTCTTGGCAATGATATCGTCCGGGATGCTCTGCCGCGGCCAGTGCCAGATGCTGATGGCTTCCGAGGTCCACTCGAGCGCGTAGACGCCGCCGCCGACGGCGTTGAAGGCGTCTCCGTAGGTGTGTGTGTCCGAGGCTGGGGGAAGGTAGTTGCAGCCGGCGTTGTTGGTGGTCTAAATTTTGGTCTATTGTTAGCGAGAAAGAGAGAACAGTCACACGTCACCAAACGATGAAGAGAAAAGGGGCCGGGGGCTTCGTTGAGGAGACTACATACGCCTGGGCTTTCACAGTCGAGGAGGAGAGGCTGGCCGGCAGCTGCGGGGGAATCTGGGATACGGCATCCTGATGTCCTATTTCTTTCGTGTCAGAACCGGCTTTCAAGATGGTATCGCCATGGTGTTGAGACTCACGTGTGTCCGGAGAGGATATTCTTCGTAGCCTGGTTCGCGCCCTCGATGATATCAATCTCTCCGCTTGTAGGCCAGTCCGGTCCATACATCCAGACTATTCAAATCAAGTGTCAGCCAGTGAGCCAAGAAAGGTGATTCGATACCTCTTCAACGGGTCTGATCCCCCCCAACACTCGGCAAGTTGAAGGAACCCAAAAAGGAGGGATCCAAACTTACACGCAGGCCACAACCCGCAAACCGACGGCGGCATGTGCGCGAAATCACCAATGAACAGTCCATGATTATACTGCCTCTTGCTCTCCAGCCTCAAGCTCGGCCGCCCGTCGCTCAAACCGTACGTGTTCTTGTTGTCCACGCCCAGCGTCACGGCCTGCGTGTCCGGGTCGATGAAGTAGAGGCCCTTTGCGAGGGCGTCGGGCTGGCTTTGGTACCTATCGTTGCCGTCAGTTCATCCATGTCCAACTCTGTTCGAAAAATAGCAGGGCCGAGACCGATATCCGTGAGTATGAGAAAGAAAAGACGTACCTTACGAAGCCGTTGGACGGGTCGGCATAGTTGATAAAGTTGAAATCTGAAATCAGATTCGCGCCAAAGTACGACTGCGATAAGCTGTACGCCATCTTGGCTTCTCTTCCTCTTCCTCTCCTACTATTCCTTTACACCTTTGTTCGTGTCTTTTGGAGGTTTCTTGTTGTGCCCTTTGTTGTGTTATCAGACTTAAGAGAGTGTATAAGCGACCACCCTAAAACTTGAGTAGAGCGAGAGAGGTCGGGTGCGTCAGCGATCGATGATCGGAAACCGATGGGCATGCACACGTCAACGAGAGACACTGGTTGATTCGGATAAACAGAGAGAGATAGAGAGAAGGAGAGTGAGAGAAATACGCCACGACTCAGTTTCAATGATCGAACAGAGACCAGATGTCATGAGACCCTTTGGAGAGAGGGGTGTAGTTTCCTTATAACCCTTTGCTCGTCAACATCTCCCTTGCGACTGATCCAGGTACAGAATCACCAAAGATGCGAACCTCGACGAATGGATTTTCAAGTCTGCCCTCCTCCACATGAGAACCACACCACCATCATCGCAGCCCTCACATCCGGCCAGGAATGCCATTGCTCGACCGCCGTCTGGCCAAGGACTTATCCAAGGACCCGAGCCTTAGGGCTCTCGAAATCCATCTCCCTCCCAGCCTCCTCAAAGCAGGCCCATTTAGAATAGGTGACGTTTGCTTCTCCACAAAGAGTAGCTCCTCAGAGCCTCAGACGAGAGAGCGAGTTCTACAGGCTACACCTAATTGGAGACACTGGAAAACCAAAAAAGGACAAGAAAGCTAGACCGGTCTGGTGGGAGACGACAGAGAATTCAATACGCAGGTAATCCATTTCGAGAAACCCAACCACGCAATATCCACTCCAAAAGAAGAAAGTCAAGGAAGGGGAGCAACGTTGGCGAGAGAAAGAAGGGAAACAGGAGGAATGCAAGCATCGCTAGCTTCGCTCAAAAAGTTGCCTTCCTCTTGCCCATCCATCAACCCTCCGAGCGTGGCAGACTCGGCAGACCGAGACATCCTGACGGCGAGACAGGAGGTGCCGCCCAGAGAAAAGGACGAGAGTGAAGAGAAAAAACGTGAAACCCAATAGAAGTCCACCCAAGAACACTTGTATCGAATGCCAGATCATGAAGAAAGGGATCGGGGGGGGCGTGGGGCCGGACCACCGCCCCGATGTGAGACATCCTCCCCTCCATTCCAATCGGTGGAGGTATTCGCAAGTCCCGCATTCTTCAAGTCCGACCCTTGCTTCCACCGGGTCTCCACCTCCGAAGTTCTCAGGGCAAAAAAAAAAAAAAAAGACGGATGCTCTAGATCATGAGTGGGTATATTATTCATATGGTGGATATGGCATACAAGCGGCAAAAAAAGACAAAGTTCGTGACCCAAACGCCATGGCCTTTTTCGGCTTATGCCCACCAGGTTTAAGCGATCCCTCCCATCAACACTCACCCCGACTCTTTCTCGTCGTCGGTAGACTACTGACCCAAATGCCCTCTGACAGCTGTACTAGTCTTACACCATGATCCTCCTCAGCCCCTCCGTGCCTCCCAGGACGCGTCGGCCAGTGACCGCACACCGCCCCTGTCCGCTCTCCCACTTGCCCTCCTTGTCTCCCATGAAATCTTCCTGCATCGAATGCAAACCCTCCACCCAGCGGTGAATACACGTGTAGCAGTATACGATACCCGTCTGACACGCCGTCGGCGTAACGATGGGGTCCTCGCAGATGGGGCACAACGCCGAGTCCTCGGGCGCAGTCACCGTGTAAATGGGCAACAGCGAAGGCGTCGCGATAGGCGCCGTCTCAGCAGCCGGAACGGCCGCGTCCGCCGACTCGTCGTCGCCGCTGACCGCCTTCTCCTTGTCCTTGCCCGTCTCGGCAGTGCCAGCTCTTCCAGCTCCTCCCTTGCCGGCCCCCAAGCCCGAGACCACAGGGGGCGGGAGATCCAGCGTCTCGGATGCCTTGCGCGACAGCTGCTTGGCGAAGTCGGACGCGTGCCACCACTCGAGGAACTTGAGCGCAAAGATGCTCATGGGCAGCAGCAGAGACAAGCTGGATAGCAGGCGCGGGCCCATCTCGCGCGGGGAGAAGAGGGATCTCCACCCGGGCGGTGCGCCGGGCTTTCCGTTCGCCTTGCCGCCGCTCGTGAGCGCGTCAATGGCCTGGTAGTCGGCGCCCGTCATCCTCCTCATGCGGGTGCCGATGAGCCACAGGAACGGGTTGTGGTACTTGCTGTTGTCAAACAGGTAGGCTAGGTTGAACGACAGCAGCGCAAAGTAGTAGGCCGCGTTGACGCTCGGGTAGATGTTGCGCAGGAACCAGCGGTAGTAGTGCAGAAAGCGCTGCTTCAGCGTCGGGTTGGGCGGCATCTGGGTGTAGGCGGCGCCGAGCAGCGCCCGCGGCGCGTTCACCTCGTACCCTTCGTCAAGCTTCCTCTGCAGGTAGGGGACGCCGACGGCGACGGCAAGGTTCATCCATATGTCTTTCGTGCCGAGCTTAAGGGTGTCGCGGACGACGGCGGGTGCGGAGGCGCTGGCGCGCGGGATCTCGGCGTGCAGAGCCTTCTCGCGCTTCAGTCCGTAAAAGTTCTCGGTGAAGCTGCCGCCGCGGGTCTTTAGGTAGTGACGCTCGACGAGGAGCATGAGCAGGGCGTAGAGCTCATCAAAGGAGTTGAGGGCGCGTAAGAGGTAGCGCGGGTATCGTTGGGTCGCGATGGTGAGGAGGTATCGGATGGTGGGCGGAAGGAGGGAGTTGAGCTGCTGTTCGGAGATGAGCTCGAAGAGGGAGGGTTTCTGGTCGTCGAAGGAGCCCCGGAGGGCGGTCATGAACTCCATGGTGGGCGAGGGCGGGCGGGCATCGAGGTTGATGGGATGGCAGTCCCCTGAATGGTTTCTTGCTGCGAGTGCGCGGATGCAAAGGAGTGAGTTGCGCTGTTATCTGGGCATGGCGATGACGGATCAGGTGTTGTCGGGTGGGTTGGTGATAATGGAAGGCTGCAGATCTTCGCTGGTACAGCTGCGGTAAGGTGGTTATCTTATCGTCGGCGGTTGGTTTGTCAGAAGTTGGAGGTTGAACGTACCGAAAGGGATTTGCCGAGGCAGTTCCACTAGCGTGCCGAAGATAGGGACCAAGAACCCGGGGAAGCCAGCGGGGCCATTTTGCTAGGTGTGGAAATGGGTACCTGAGAAAAGGTACCCATTCGGGACCCCGACTGAACTCAATCGAATTATAGCATCAACAACTCCATCATTCTCATTTTAGACGGCGGCTCGTACATAGATTGCCTGTCTATTCAGTTATAGTCTTCTGGTTGATGATTTGTTACCTAACATTCCATCGATACCCTCACTTGATTCAGCTTTCTTCCAGCAGATAGAGCCAGACTCGCTGTCAGCGCCAAACGGCACGCACTTTCTCATCTCACTCCCATTCTCACCACTCCCACTCTAACCCCCAAACTCGTACACCGACACCTCGCTCACAATGGGCATCCCATCTCAGTTCAAGTCCGTCTTCGAAGCCAAGGCAGGCGAAGAGCGCATACAAGCCTGGCTCAACCTAGACAAGGACGACGCGGGCAACTTCAAATTCGGTGTACGTCCCTTTACCTCCCTTCTCATCCATTCCACTCCGCACAGCTAACATGAGACTTCAAACCCCCCAGAACTGGATGGGCGCCCTCATCCCCTCCATTGCCCTCCTCTCAACCTCCCTCACACCAACCCCGCGCGCCACCTTTGCCTTCACCGTCCTCCCAGAGCACTGCAACCGCGCCGGCAACCTCCATGGCGGCGCTGCCGCCACCCTCTTCGACTCCCTCACCACCATGCCCCTGGCCCTCGTCAACGACAAGCCGGGCTACTGGCAGTTCCTCGGCGTCTCCCGCACCATCAACTGCAGCTACCTCCGCCCGGCCCCCAACGGCGAAGAGTGCCTCATCGAGTGCGAGATTGTCCAGATTGGCCGGACGCTGTGCCAGCTCAGGGGCACCCTCACGAGGCGGAGCGACGGAGTGGTGCTGGCTACGTGCGAGCATCACAAATTCAATACCGATCCGCCCGCGAGCAAGTTGTGATGCAACGATCTTGTTTTCTACCTTTTTTTCTTTCAGAGAAATATGAGTGTAAGGAGTATGGATGAGAAGAGATTTTGAGTGAGACTCACGATATCTATGACCAACGCGGTATATATATACACAGCTGTAGACGTTACACATAAACTAGAACAAATCCACAAAGCCCAAAAAACCACCAGATTACACCAAATCCCCATCCCTTATCCCATCACTGCTCTATAAGATGATGTCCACTAAGCACAAGGTCCATAAGCTCGGAATCCGGCGCCGCCAACGCCGCCAAATCCTCCACCAGCTCCTCATCATCAATCTCGCCCCCATCGTCATCCTCGTCCTCCCCCCACTCCCCGACCACAAAGTCTTCGTCGTCGTCCTCGTTGCTAGCCAGCTCCGCGTCAAAGTCCATGATGGGCAGGAAATCGTGAATGTCGATCTTATTGTCGTCGCCCTCCTTGGGGCCCGGGGCCCGGTCCGAGACCTTGAAGTAGGCGCTGGGTCCGCAGGGGCCGTGAGGATCGTAGTCTCTGTTAGTCTCAGAGTTTAGCATCAACTTCAATCAGAACTGTTTCCCGACCCCCGGTCTTGGTCGATACTGGTAAGGGGGCTGGAAGGAAGAAGGGGGGACGCAACGTACGTATCGAACCAGTGTCCCATGACACCGCGAGCCGACCCGACACCACCAATCTGGATCCCCTCGCTCCGCCACCGCGCGTGGCCGTTGAAGACGGAGAACGTCGTCCATCTCACCTCGCCCTCCTTGGTCATCCGAACCGTGCCTTCAGTAGCTAATTAGAATCAGTCGAAATTTAATAAAAAAAAGCCGCAAGAAAGAAAGGGCCTTCCACCGTGTGGGCAGGCCTTCCTTTCGAAGAAAAAGAGACGAGAAAACTTACCACGAAGTTGCGAATGCGCATTCTCATCCCACGAATCATCAACCGACCGCGACAACCCATGAAAATGCACAACAGGCAGCTCCTTCCCATCATCCTCCCCCGGCGGCTGCACATCAACAACAAACATTTTCATCAGAATGATCCTCGTCGCCTCCCCGACGTCAAGCGGCGGCCGCTGCACCTCGATCGGCGGCGGCTCCTCTCCAATCGGGAAATTATAGTGAAAAAAATCGTTATAGTCGATGAAACATACCACCCTCAACCACGTACCCGCAACACCGTACGGATCTTCCAAGTCCAGATCTCGGATGCCTCTCCCTGGCGAGGGCACGTAGCTCCCCGACCACGAGCCCGCAAACGGCTTCTCCCAGAGGTTGGAAAACACTTTTGCCGTAAGACGCTGTGATCTGATGTTGCTGCCCAGAACGATCATGATGGCCTCCATCTTTTCCCAGTCCACCCGCCCCGAATCGTCGTCGCGGAAGGGGCCCCATTTCGTGCGCGTCGTGTACTGCCGCATGTCGTAGACCTTGCACGCGGCGTAGGGGTATACGCGCGAGGACCTCGTGCGGCCAGTGTTGAAGATGGGGCGGCCGTAGAGGCAGTGGAGCTTTGCGCTCTGTTGGTGGATGTCGTCGGCGGTCGGGTCCGTTCGGGAGGAGGAGGATGCTGACGATGACGAAGATTGCAGGCGGCGGCTGCTGCTCGTCGGGCGTGCTGCATCGCCGCGCGCGCGGTCAAAGATGTGAGAGCGGCATAGGAAAGCTACCCGCGCGGGCTCCTCGTGGAAGAATCTGGCCAGGGCGGTGGCGTTGCGGGAGACGGCGTGGGTGCCCGTGTCGTTCTGCGTCTCGCCCGTTGGGGAGGCATGTTGTAGTAGCCTGTTGACGACGTCGGATACGAAGGGGAGGAGGTCGCGGGACTAATTGGAGGGCGCGGATGAGAATGAGTGCTCATACCCTGGAGTGTTCTACATTTCATGATGGGGGAGCGAGGGAGTTATTTGCTCTTACCTTTTCGTTCACACTATCCCCGGCGCAAACGAGACCAAGTCTCACGAAATCGTGCAGTTCCCTCTCCCAGTCCAGCCCAGTCTGCTTCGGTGTGTCCTGTTCGAGAAATCGCGTATTAGACCATTTCCCTCACGAATGCGACGCAAGACAAAGGTAACCCTGAGACGAGGATCATTCATACAAGAGCATTCAAATACACGTCCTTGCAAAGCTTCTGGTTCCCCTTGACGTAGGAGTGCAAGAATCGACATGTGCGGGGCAGACGTCCGAGGTCGCGGGGCTCGAGGCCCGAAAAGATGTGATGGAGGATCTCTGCCGGCAGCATGTTGATATGCAGCACCTGATGCTGCTGCTGCTGCTGCAGCGGCGGCGGCTGCGACATCGTGGGCGACGACGAAGGATACGACGACGACGCCCCGTCGGATTCGACCACTGGAGGGGGAGCTTATCGCGCGACGGCGGTTGCGGTCTTTTGTGTGTGCGTGTGTGTGTGTGTGTGCGTGTGTGTGTGTGTGTGTGTATGTTCACAGCTCAGAGAGGGATGCGTCGTTGAAATGGACAAGTGGTTTGGGGAACAAGATTTTGAGCGAGGGGTCTAGGTACTGGTCACGATGAGAGGGAACGTTTCTTGGGGTAGCAAGGTAATGAAAGTGGGAAGAATAGAGCAAGGTAAGGTAAGGTAGGTAAGGTGAGGCAAGGTAGACAACAGCGGATCGGAAGCTTAAACTTACGTCGTCTATCCGGTTGGTCAACCGCCTGGTACCCACGAAAACCTCCCACGCGGGATATGATCCACCACATGCAGCGTTCGTGCGGGGATAACTGTGTACGTGGTACGGAGTGCCTATCCGAATCTCAGGGCGGGCGGGCGCGCGTGTGGGTACCGCCTGCCTGCGATCCGTGAAGCTCCCCGCCTGGAGTTCTGCACTCTGGTCAACCCCCCCCCCCCCGGAGGTCAAGGGTGTGTAAGCTTCCGGCGTATCAGCGCGGTGGGGAATGACGGACACTGTGTGTTGTGCAGGCAAAGTCGTTATGCCTTTGAGATTGGTTCGCCAAATTCCTGACGAACAGCTCTCTCGATTGAGGTTGCCTTACGGATACCTACTTCTCTGGTAACACAGCAGTTCCTCGGTTTTCCGATTGTCCCGTTTCCCCAAAATTTTCCCTTGGAAGGATGGACGTGCCCCTCTCCAAGAAGCCATGTCTGCGAAAGTCACCAGAATCAGTATAAGTCATCATGACGTAAGGCAAGGTAGAGAAGATCACTAATTCCCTTCCTTACCTAAGACAAAGTATTGAAAAGGCGCTATCGGATATGTACCCTAGCCCCACACACATCGGAGCCGGGAAAGTGGACCCGCCCGGCTCCGGACACCGGAGCTTTCATGTCCAAAGCAAACGGAAGCGGAGCATATGATCCACAAAATTTCAACTCGCCAATGTCGCCGGCTTTCCCGTGGCAGACGGCTGTCTTCACAGCATCGAGCTTGCATCAGGAATCATCAGAGCCACCTTTCCGGCGCGTAGAAATTTACCGGCAATGCCTGAGCTACGTAGTCTCGGACAGGTGGGATTTCCAATTCCTCGGACGTCCCGCGTTCCGTCCTCACCTAGGCCCGTTTTCTCTTTTGACAGCAGGTCGTCTACCGCAACCTGGAAAAGGTATGGCGCCGACACATATCAAGGTAGACATTGCAATGAAACCTAGCATGTGATCAGGTAAGAATATATTCATCCATGTACTCTCTCTGAGATCCTACTTTTTCCATCTCAGCGCTAATGCTGCCATGCCACGAACATTCCATTGCGCTGCGGTAAGGCGCGCGCATCATGGGGGTATAGATACAGTACAACACACAAAAAGGGAGAGAAAAAAAAAAAGCTCAAGCTGAATGTCCATGCTGGCTCCCACTTGTTCGAACTTCATCGTCTGGGATTGTAATCCTCCCATCATGTCATCGCAAGAAGTGGTACAATAATTCAAAGTCAATCCCTCCAGTCGTCAATAAGTCGTGCCATTACCATGTGTAAGTCGTAATTAGAATGGCTTGAATGCAGTTTGGTCGTCATCTCGCAACTCGCCAATTACAACGTGGTAGCCCCAGCGTTCAGCTGGAGACAGTTACTGAGCAGATTGGCGCCCTCGTGCAACAGCTCCCACCGGGTGGTTTCGAATGAGTCTTTGAGAACAAGTAGCATCGCCGTGTTTTCGTTGATGCCCTTCATCGCCTTGAGCTCGTCTGGCGAGGACGCGCCCCCATATTTCAGAAGATACTCGCGCATTTTTCGTAACTGCTCCTGCTTGGATGTTGGGGGCGGGACATCAGGACAGGGACCTTCTAGAGCGAATCCGTAACACCAAACAACAAGGGCAGCAAAGTATAGAACCCATGGCCTATTAAGGAGTACGTCGTCTCGTGCAGTGTACGGCTCATCGTACTTGAAGCCATTGGGCTGATGCGCGTGGCCGCCATCAGGTATGAGAACAGAGCTGATGAACTTGAGGGCATAAAAGGTCGCGTCGCGAGCCTTGGCGGTTGGGGCCCAAATGTCCTTCATCCTTCGCTGAGCACTATTCAGATCTTGCTGTCCAATAGCTCGTCCCAGAAGCCGCTTTGCTCTGGCAAAAATTTGACAGTCGACAATGTCAACGTGCATTGCCATATGTGCAAGATGATGCAGTACGGTACGGCTCTCGAAAACGACGTTGGCGTCATTCTTCTTCGCTGAGTCGTAGCGGTATGGGTCGGAAGAGCCTTCTGTCCTAGTGAGGGACTTGTCGAAATCTTCTTTCCAAGCATCAAAGGCCCTGGTAAGTGTTCCCCGCCATTTGTCTCTGCCGCCTAGTGCCTGAGACACGCCACCGCCAAGAACGTTGACCTGAAGGTCTCTTTGGTTCATATGCCAACTAACGCTGAGAAGTCCAGCCATGAGGACCATGCGACCAAATGGGTTGGTCTGTACACCTTGGCCGCTGAGCGTTCGTTTGAGACCTTCCAGGAAAGAAATGGGCTTGACACCGTTGGACAGTAGATTGGACTCGACTCTGCCGACTTCCGCACCACTCGTAGCTTTCCACAAGGCCTCATCGCAG